CCCCAAAACCCCAAAACCCCAAAACCCCGATTGTGGACTTTAAAATTGTAATTAATTATAAATGGAACGTTGGGGAGTGAAGAGGAGAAAGAGGAATAGGACAGGGGTGTGGGAGTATTATATAGATTTTCATATTGAGCAAATGAGAGATTTGGTGGATGTTGAAAAGGTTTCTAAAGATCCTGAGTTTATTCAAGAAATATGTGAAAATTATATAGACATTGATAAAATATAAAAGAAACAGTTTTCAAACTTAAAAATATTGAAGATCAATGTGTCAGAACTAATGATGCTCGCAATAAATACTTCAAGCGTAATCCCTTATTTCCTTCAACTTTTAACCTTCGAATTTAGTTGTGAGAGAAAGAGACAATGTTGGTGTTAACCACTTCAGAAAAATCAGTCTTGGTATGATCGCAGTAGGAAGAACAAAAAAGAAAAAGTTAGAGGATTTCGACTTGGAACATGGAGAAGAGATAGAAATGCTGAAGAAATCATTTGAGGAAGAGAGGGCTAAGACTGAGAATATGATCGATAATGCAATTTTGGAAGAGATTTACCAGGAAGTTAAGAGGAATGTAGATGGTTTCAAAGAAGATAAGATCTCACAGAGGATAGAAGAGCAGGTGAAGAATATATAACTGAAGCCTCTTATAAGATAAAATTCAACTGGGATCCTAAAGAATCAAGGATGGAAATGACGTTCTTTTTGGTTGATAAGAACGATGACGTTGACAAAATAAAAGAAAAGTTTTTTGAAAATATAATAAAAAATCCAATAAATCGGTAAGCAATACATTAAAATATTCTCTGACTCTGATTTAGAAGTTTATCAGATCTGATTGATGAAAGTTGAGAAGAAGTGTGATTTGCCTTAGACCCACAGTTACAGCAAGAGAACAAAGAGTTTTTCGAGAAAACTAAAGTCCAATACTTCATCGATCTCATTAAGATGTGAGATCTCCCGAAGGTTGATACAATTATCTTGCAGAATTTTTATTTTAAAGATGAAGAATTAGATCCGATTCTGGAGACTGTCATTTCGTCTCTATTTCAAAGGCTAGTATTCAAATAACTGTGACTTTCAAATATCTCAGCAAGCAGAGTTGGAGCCAATAGTTAAAAATATCAATCCTTCTTGAATTCGGTCAGCTGGTTTGAGCGAAGATCCTAAAGAAATGCTAGATTGATCCGAAGATGGAGAAAGAGAAAGCGAAGAAGAAACTGAAGAAGAAAATAAAGAAGAACAAATTAAGAATAGAAAAAGAAATATTAAAAGTAAGGGTAAAGATCCTCAAGACAAGCCAACTTCTTCGAAAGACTATATCAACCAATACCTGAAGATAAAGCTATCTAGTTTACAAGAAGAAAATAAGATTGAGCAGCCATCTCCTCATCCAACTAAAATGAGACCTTTGTATAGTCTGTCTTTCATTGAGTGATTTACACCAGAATCAGCTTATTACTCTTTGAACGATGGAAAGAGTATTGACCCCAACTACTTTAAACATCATGCTGCTTCATCCTGTGCAGAAGCCCTCCTCCTAGACCAAGCCTCAATGACGCATAAAATCAACAAAATCCTTCACAAAATCAGTACAGTCTCCCTGCAAAACCCTATGTACAAGGAAAGAGGCCTCATGTGCCTAACTCTACAGGATTGCTACCTTCCAGAGGACGATTACGGTAAGTTTGGAAACATGTTTTAGAGGTTATTAAGCAAATGAGGATAGTTTTAGGGTAAGGTCAAGTGTGGTGGAGTTAGGCCGAAGAGATTTTATTGGAAATAGAGATAGTATGGTGTGTGCTTGGAGGATATGTTAAATAAAATTTTGGTTAATGGAGGTTTAGGGTTTGGTTGTTGTGATTTGTTGCTGTCGTAAAAGATTGGCGAAATGTTTTGGAATTATCTAGAATGATAAAGTTTTATGGATCGTTTGAGGTCTTAATGTTTTAAACTTTATCTACATTTGGTTTATAATTAAGAGAAGATGGAATCAGTTAGGAATCTTCATTGTTTCAGACAGTCCCAAATAACCCCCTTTAATTGTGTAGATACTCTGCCTCAATTTAAGTTGCACAAAATATCTATCAAACAATTTTATGGATGCCTCCCTCAAAATCAAAATCTAATGTTCAACTCTAATATTCTCTGACGGGGTTTTGGGGTTTTGGGGTTTTGGGGTTTTGGGGTTTTGGGG